AAGCCGCGATGCCACCGGCCGTGCTCACGCTGGCCGAGCGCATCCGCGGCTCGGCGCGGCCCACCGCAGTGCACGTGCGCCGCCACGACTACAAGCACCACGGCCTGGCCAGCGAGTCCTACTACATCGACGCATTGCGCTGGCTCGCCGCGCGCTCGGGGCCGCTGGACGTCTTCGTCTTCTCCGACGAACCGAACTACACGGCCGCCTTCCTCAGCCAGGCCGGCATCCGCGCGCAGCTCGTCAGCACCGGCGACGATCTCGCCGACCTCTATCTGATGGCCCAGTGCGGCCGCCACGTGATCTCCAACTCCACGTACTCGTGGTGGGGCGCCGTGCTGTCGGGCGCCAACGATGTCGTCTGGCCCGACCCGTGGTCCTTCATGCACACGCCCTCTGCGCAGCTCTGCCCGCCGCGCTGGAAGCGCGTCACCGGGGCCGTCGAACGTGCCCCCAACACGCCGCGCTTCGCGAACACGCTCGAGCAGGAGCAGTTCAGGATCGACCGCGAGACCTTCTTCTCTCAAGGCCAGTTGCCGCCCGACTGGCAGGTCCAGTTGCGCCCCTGCCTGGGCGACGCCACCGCCGGCACCGACTTCGACTCGCACTACGTCTACCACACGGCCTGGGCCGCGCGCCGCTTGCACGCCAACCCGGCACCGCAGCACACCGACATCAGCAGCGACATCCGCTTCGTCACGCTGGCATCGGCCTTCCAGCCGCTGCGTTTCCTGGACTACCGCCCCGCCGCCATCAAGCTGGCCAACCTCGAATGCGGTCGCGCGGACCTGCTGGCGCTGGACCTGCCGGATGGCTCGGTGCCATCGCTGTCGTGCATGCACGTGGTTGAACACATCGGCCTGGGCCGCTACGGCGACCCGATCAACTTCCACGGTGCCGACATCGCGATGCGCCAACTCCAGCGCGTGCTGGCGCCGGGCGGGTTGCTGTACTTCGTCGTGCCGGTGGGCCAGCCGACCGTCGTCTTCAACGCCCACCGCGTGTTCCGCGCCAGCGACATCGCCGCCACTTTCGACGGCCTGGAACTGCTGGAGTTCTCGCTCGTCAACGACGACGGCAGCTTCACCGAACACGTGCCGCTGCAAGCCGCCGACCCGCAGCGTTACGCCTGCGGCTGCTTCCTGTTCAAGAAGCCGCTCTGACACATCCCATGGACGCCACCGCTTTCCACCAACTGCTCGGCCCGACCTACGTCATCAACCTCGACGAGCGCCAGGACCGCTGGCAGGAATGCCAGGACGAGTTGCGCACCCTCGGCGCCGACCCATCGCAGTTGCGGCGCTTCAGCGCCGTGCGCTCGGGGGTGCACGGCACCATCGGCTGTGGCCTGTCGCACGCCGGCGTGCTGCTGCGCTTCCTGACCGAGTCAGAGGCGCCGCACTGCCTGGTGCTGGAGGACGATTTCCGCTTCGTGCGAAGCCTCGACGAGGTGACGGCCGACTTGCAGGCCTTCCTCGCCACGCCCCGCCCGTGGGACGTGCTGCTGCTCTCGGGCAACGCGGTGCTGTCGGTGGCTACCGAACAGCCGGCTTTCCATCGCGTCGTCACGTCGCAGACCGCTTCGGCCTACATCGTCACGCGCGCTGCGGCGTTGAAGTTGATCCCGAAGTTCCTGCTCGGTGCAGAACGGCTGCGCGAGTTGCTGTCCGCGCTGGCGCGCCAGCATTGGCCGCTGATGATCCACAACTACGCGGCCGACATGATCTGGAAGGATCTGCAGCGTGAAGGCGGCTGGTACATCCTCAGCCGCCGCACCGTGGTGCAGCGGCCGTCGTTCTCGGACATCGAGCAGAAGCCGGTCGATTACGGCGTGTGAAGCGCGGCGCGCCGGCCAGCACATGTTCGGCGCCACCTGCAGAAGGCGGCGATGCTGTTGTCCAGCTCCGCCGTCCCCACGGCATCAACGCCTTGCTTCAACAGCGGACTCTTTGATGCCGCCCCCTATGACCAAACGGCAGGGGGCACCTGGGAAGGGCCAAAGTCAGAAAGCGCGTCAGGCCCGTACCAACGTGAACAGGTACTGAAACACTTCAGCATCCGAGGCGGCTTGTGCGGGATCTGCGCCCGCAGTCTGCGCAATCAAGCGGATGCCTTCCAGAATCGCCGGGGGGGCAGCCTGCGGCAGCCGCCGGGCCAACCCGGTCTGCACATTCCAGCCGGATTGCTGGAACATCTCCAGCAGCGTCACGCGCGTGAACCAGCGCAGGTGCGTGCGGTCAAGCAGACCGGAATCCTCGTAGCGGAAGAGCCCCGTGGCCAACCGCATCTGCACGCTCCAGTGCTGGGCGTTGGGGATGCAGATGACGACGCAGCCGTCGGGGTCGATGCGCTCACGCACGCGTGCCAGCAGGCGCCAGGGATCGCGCAGGTGTTCTAGGCAGTCGCCGAACACCCAGCAATCGCTCGGGAAGAGGCTGTCAAAGGTCTTGTCATCCAGACGCTCAATGTCGCCAGCCAGGGTGCGGGTGCAAACACCGGCCGCCACTTGTGCGTAGTCAGCGTCGATGTCGACCCCGATGAACTCGGAATCCGGGCTCTTCAACAGGTATTCGCGTGCCAACGCACCGTGCATGCAGCCGATCTCGACCACGCGGCGCTTGCCCACCGGTATCAACGCCAGCAAGTCGCCATTGACAACGGCATGCGCGGGAGTTTGTTTCATCTGACTCAAAGCGGGCATCGGAGCTCCAGTGGGATGTAGGGCGGTACCGTGGATGGAGGAATCGACGTGCTGCGCTTCTGCATTCGGTGATGGGGCGGCAGTGTCCGCTTCTGAAGTCGCAGGAGCCGCCGGCGCACTGTGATGGCGATGATGCAATTTCGCCATCGTCGACGAACTGCTCGCGCTGCGATACATCGCATTCATCTCCGCAATGTCGGCGACCTCATTGCTGCGGTACCACGGCAGGTGGCGTGCGGTGTAGTTGCCGGCCAGGCGCAGATGGCAATGCGGCGATCCCGTCTTGTTGAACAGATGGAACGTCGTGTCGACTCGCGCGAGGTAGATCTCCAACCCCGGCTCGTTGCGGTCCGACAGCGGTTGCTGCCAAAACTGGTGTTCCCAGTCCGCGATGCTGAGCCCCTGGTGATAGTCGGGGTCGGCGTACATCGCCTCCGCATCGGCAATGTCCAGCGCAAAGCCGACCTTCTGCGCACCATAGCGGTCGGACAGCCGCGACAGCACGTGCATGAAATCGCGCGGCAGGTTCGGGTTGAACTGGAGGTCAGGGTCCGTGACGCAGAACTTGGTCGGCAATGCCGGATAGATGGACGGATGCACCCAGCACAGATGGCCCAGGTTCTCGGTGTTGCGGATGACACGGCACGGCAGCCGGTCGAGCGCGGCACGGGTCTCCGCCCGGGTGCTGGCGTTGTCGATGACGACGATGTCCTTGACGCCCAGCCGCTGCAGTTGCGCGACGGTGTTCTCGACGAACACATGGTTGTCGTAGCAGATCACGAGCACCGGGATCGCGTCGACGTCGGTGTCCGATGTCGGGATCTCCGAGGCGGGACGGGCTGGCGGCGACCACGGCAGGGGCGCCTGCTGCTCGCCGAAGCGTTGACGCAGCAGCGAATACGCCTGCTGGTACTGCGGGAACGAGTGTTCACGCCAAGCCTGCTTCAGCGCGTCGCAGATCACGGCCTCGTGGCGGTAGTTCGCGAAGCGCATCTTCGACCACGGGCGGTCGAAAGGCGCCAGCGCGCGGCTCGGCCACGGTTGCAGCGCGAGCAGCAGCGAGGCCAGCCGTTCCAGCAGCAGCCAGCGCCGCGGCGCACCGAGGGCATCGTCGTACTGCTGCAGGAAGTGATCGGGCGGCAGCGCGTCGAGCGATGCCATCAGCGGCGCGGCACAGGACGCCCAGCGATGCCAGAACGCCGGCGTGGCCGCCAGGCAGCCGTCCAGCGCGACATGGCGCGAATCCATCACCAGCGCGCGCAAGGCCACGTTGAGCCCGACGCCCGCAAGCAGCGGCTCGCAGGCCGCGATGAAGCCCGGCGAGAAGGTCTCGACATGCTCGAAGACGTTCAGGAAGAACGCGCCGACGTCGGGTTGCGGCGAGAACGGCATCGCCTGCAAGTCGGGCGGCAGGGCTGCAACGGCGCGCGCCAAGGCACCCGCGTCCAGCTTGCAGACGGCGACGACGTCATCAGGCACGAAAGCGAGCATGGGACCGTCGCCGGCAGGCAGCGACGCCAGCTGGTGCAGCATCTGCCCGTAGCGCCCCCAGCCCTGGGCGATGTCGGCACCCAGCGGCTCGAAGCCCGCGACGACGTCTGTCGGCAAACGGCCGTCGCGGCCGATGCGGAACAGGCGCGGCTGTGGGCGCGAAACGCTGGCGGTCATGCGGGGCTCCGGTGCAATGCGGTGGTCGAGGTGGGATCAGATTCTGGCGCCAGTGCGTGCACCCCGGAAATCGGTCGAGGCGACAGGACAGTTCGTCGGCGTGCCGGAGGCTGCATCACCGCAGCGGCGTGACGACGCCCTGCCCCATGCTCCAGATCATCGCGATGATCTGCTGCGCGTCGTACATCGCGTTCACGTGGGCGATGCGCATCGAGTAGTAATCGCTCTCGGCGCCCATCACGTCGAACAGCGAGCGGCGGCCCAGCTGCTGCCATTGCTGCAGCGTCGACGCGCGCACGCGGTCGCTGTTGCGCAGGATCTCGACGATGCGCCGCGCGCGGTCCAGCGTGGACGTGCCCACTTCGTACATCTCCAGCAGCCGGTAGCGCTTGGCCTCGATGGCCTCGTCGCGCTGCAGCACGCTGGCACGGTAGCGATGCACCGCCGCGCTTGCCTGGGACTGCGCGCCGGGCTGCAGCAGCGGGATCGTCACGCTGACGCCACCGACGTACTCGGTCGCCTTGGACACACCGGCCTGCCGCACCACGTTGCCGCTGACGCTGACACTCGGCTTCTGGCCGGCAATGACGGACTCCGCCAGGCTGCGCTGCGACCTCGCCTGCGCTTCTGCCTGTGCGACGTCGGCGCCCAGCAGGATGTCGGTTTCCATCTGCGCCAGCTCGGGCAGCACCGACAGCCGCGTCGCCATCGCGATGCTGGGCGGCAGCGGCTCGCCCACCATGCGCTTCAGCCGCACCTCGGTCTGACGCAGTGCGGACATGGTCTGCTCCAGCGACAGGTCGGCCTGCTGCAGGCTCTTCTGGGCCTGCACGAGCTCGCTGGCGCGGCCGCGGTCGGCGTTGGTGATGATTTCGAGCGCGTCCACCAGGCAGCTCATCTTGCGCACGTACTGCACATAGACCTGTGCCTGCAGCACGTAGCGGCTGCGGTCCAGCGCCAGCGTGACGACGCTCAGCGACAGCTGTTCCTCCGCGCTGCGCTGGCCCTGCGCGGCGATTTCGGACAGCTCCTTGCGCCATTCGGTCAGCTTGGCGATGCGGCCGAAGTCCCACACCGGCATGCTGGTGCTCAGGGTGCCGGTCAGCTGGCCGCCGCGGCCGGCGTCCTGGCCGTTGACGGTGGTGCTGAGGCCGTTGGCGGCAATGTTCAGCGACGCGGTCGGCAGCCGCATCGCGCGCGCCTCTTCAAAGTCGAAACGCGCCGCTTCGGCAAGCAGGCGCACGGCGCCCAGGCCCTTGCTGCGGCTCAACGCCAGGTCGATCAGGGACTGCAACTGCGCACGCGGGTCGCTGCCGTTGTCGAACATGGAAGCGTCGCGGCCAAAACGGGACAGGCCGGCGTCTTCCTCGTTGCAGCGGCCGCCACCCGGCGCGGGCGCGGAGGCCTGGGC